TGGTGTTCTACTAGGTGCTCTAGTGCAAAAGTATGAACAAAACAACCTTTAAGGCACAAACACGCACACAAACATGTGAAGAGAGGGAGATATAGAGATAGATAGATACAACTCTCTAACCCTAAATTTTCAGAACCTCTGAGAAGGGAGGAGGGGCCCCCTTCTTATAGTAGTCCAAATTCTAAGCTTTCTAAGTAAGCTAAGGCAAGGGACAAATCCCTCCATACACGTGTATGGATGGGGGGAATTGTGGATGCCAGCTGTGACAGCTGGCATAAAATATCTGCAAAAAGCAGATGAACAGGGTTCGGCTAGAAAATATGGCCGATCGACTAAAAAGAGTGCCGATCGGCCAACACTTTTGGCCGATGGCAAGAAAACAGGGCCGATGGCTTCATGCCTTGGCCGATAGGTTTAGGTAATGGCCAACAAGCCACCCTCTTCCCTCAGAAGCAAAAACACAAGTGCTTGGTCCACAACCAAGCACAAAACAGACAAGTTGAGAGATCTTGAGGCAAGGCGCGCGACTGAGACCTTCAGGAACTCAAAATGAACACGAGCATGGATAATCATCGAGTGTTCAAACGATGACGTTCAAGTCTTGAGGACGGTAAAAAATGAGGTGTCTACAGTTGGCAAGATTGACCAACTCTTTCTAAACAAGTCTTTTCCCGACTGGGGGACAATAAAAAGTTTGGCCAAAATAACCAAACATTTAGCTCTCTTCAGCTGAGATCAGGATCTAGGCTTAAGAAGTTTGGCAGGAATAACCAAACATTGAGTTCTCTTCAGCCGAGATCAGGGTCTAGGTTGAGGAGGGTTGGCAGGAATAACCAACACTTTATTTTCTTCAGCCGAGATCAGGATCTAGGCTGAAGAGAGTTGGCAAGAATAATCAACACTTTGTTCTCTTCAGCCGAGATCAGGATCTAGGCTGAAGAGGGTTGGCCGGAATAACCAACATTTTATTCTCTTCAGCCGAGATCAGGATCTAGGCTGAGGATTGGTAGGAATAACCAACAATTTCTCTTCTTCAGCCGAGATAAGGATCTAGGCTGAAGAAAGTTGATAGGTATGACCAACAGTTTCTCTTCCTCTAGCCGAGATAAGGATCTAGGCTCAGGAAGGTTGGCAAGTATGACCAACATTTAGCTCTCCTAAGCCAAGGTAAGGATCTAGGCTGCAGGAAGTTGGCAGGTATGACCAACAAAACTTTTACACTCTTTGGCCGGGATGACAGTTACCTCGGCCAAAGTAGGTTGGCAGGTTTGACCAACAAGTTTTTTGGAATCTTCAGCCGAGATGCGTATCTCGACCAAAAAAGGTTGGCAAGATCAGGTAAGGCCAAGCTAATTAGTTTGGCTAGGCATGTGATTGGAATGATGCAAAACATTGAAAAAGAAACACAGTAACCGAGCAAAGAGATCGAAATTTTTCATTAATTAAAATATGATTACAAAAGGTGGGAAATATAGCCCGGTTACACTAAAAGAACGCCTTCTCATATGATTGCGAACTCGAAGGATATAAATATTGAAGGCAAAAAGGCGAGGCTGTTCAAAATTTTGAAGGTACATGACGGTTGTAACAAGAGAACGAGGATAATGGGGGCACGCCACGTATCTTGGGAATGACGTCGTGCCAGATTAGTGGAAGAACATGTTGAGCAACTGACAAGGCTTATTGGGGCCGAACGAGCTGTGAAACCAAACAACTTTTTAGCTCGGCAGAGTGGGGCGTTCTTAGCTCGGCTGGAGGAAAAATAATCCCAATCATGCTACGCAGATGGAATTAAGGGGCAATTGAGAGGATAATTTGTAAATAAATTGGGCCGAGCTAGGAAGAGTCTTTTTTGGGAGTTGGGCCGCGTAATGGGCCGAGATAAAGGCTGGTGTAGCTCGGTTTTAGGCCAAGAAGACATCTCATATTTCGGGTTTGGGCCGAACTATGGGCCGAGGTAATTATTTATGTAGCACGGTCCTTGATCATCTAAACATCGGGTCGGTCAGAGATGGGCTACCAGTGACCTGACCTAGCTATCCTGGACTGAGGTATCAGTGGTGGGAGAACCGGATAGCTTTGCAGGGCGTCATCTCAGAGTCAAGACTGACAGTGGTGCTTAAAGTATCACCGAGCTGTGTAAGCACAGTTGACCGCAATGTCAGCCGAGGTAAGGGTTCAGCCATCTCACTTGGCTTGTAGTGATGAGGGTGTTTTAGGGATAATCATTATCCTTGGGCTTGAGACTCCTAGGAGAACTCTGCTATGGAGAGTAGAGTCCTACTAAGATTATGCAAAACCATCTCACTTAGTTCATAGTGAGTAGGAGTATAACTCCTAGGAGGACTCTGCTAAGGAGAGTAAAGTTTTACTAGGATTGTGCAAACCATCTCACTTGGTTGGTGGTGAGTAGGGTGTGTGATTCCTAGAAGGACTCTTATAAGGAGAGTTGGAATCCTACTAGGATTGTGGCAAGTAAAGTCTATAAAAGCTCATGACCAGACCTATGTACAGGTATCCCAATTCTTACTCTAGAATACATGGAGCTTATTGTCTGTTGTCTAGTTGCTGACTTAGGCATCAGAGGGGTTTCCGGCACACACCCGCCGACTAGCTCACAGTTGTGTTTTCAGGAAGTAAAGCGACGACGTTTGGAGGAGCGCAAACTTGATCAACAGGATCATACGAGAAGAATTATTTCGTACTCGTACATTTATAAACAATAAAATGGGTAAGCAATGGTTTATTGGGTTTTCTCCAATCCGATGTGGGTAAGCAATGGTTTCCACGTAAAATTATATATATTTTAAAAATATGTACACATATAATTATGGATTTAGGGTTTGGTTGCAGTCACTCCTAAAAATTATAAAAATTATGTATATTATATTAATAATAGTAAGTTGGCTTAGGATATCTTACATAATAATAATAATAAATAAATAAATAAGTAACATAATTTAAAAAAAGTTTAAAAAATTTACTGAAAATTAAACAATAAAAAAATAAAGAGTAAATTATAAATACACCCCAAAATTTGTTTAAAATACATATTACTTCATGTAGTTTTGAAAATTATAAACATTCCATTGTCAAAAATTTTTATTTATCAAAATTATCGAATAAAATAAAATTTCTATCTACTCTCCTCTACAATAATAAAATTATCAAAATTATTTAACAAAATGCATCTTAATCCCTTTTTTGAAAATTCAAACTTTTTAAGGAGACATAATCATTACATTTTGAATTCAAATTTTAAAGGATAAAATTCCACAAATACCCTTCTATTTTTATATTTTTTTATAATTATTTATAAGGGCCAATTTTGGAAACTTCTAATTCAAAGTTTTGATTTTTTAAAAGTGGACATGCATTTTGGGACAACAAAAAATGAGATAATGGACTAATAAAATGGGACAGAGGGAGTATGTTTTTCTTCTTTCTTCTTCTTTTTCTTTTTTTTTTTTTTCCCTTATTTTCTTGGTTAAAGTATTTTACAGGGACAAACAATTTACATTACGAAGCATGCATTCCCAAAAGACAAAGGTTGTGTTAATTTGACAAGAATCGAGGACGAGATAGGAATCTCAATCGCATGTCTGGTGCATGCTTTTGTTTTTTTTTTTTTTTTTTTGAAACAGCCAAAAAAGAAACCTTTATTGATGAATAACACACATACAAAGGTGAACATCAACAAAGACCGATGGTACAAAAAGCATCACAGCTACAAAAGCCAATCCCAACTAAGTTGGCATCAGCTAAAGAGTCCAATTATCTGCTAACACCACCAAAAGTTGGGGACAGACCAACCAAAAAGGAGGAAAAAAACAAACACAGCAACCAGACTAAGAGAGTTACACACCCCACCCTTTAAGACAGCATCTCACCTGCCTAAGATTTACCAGAAAATTCTGCACTAAAAAGTGGTGCTTAGCATACCTTGGCTTCAACCACAATGCAATTCTCACCTTTATCACTTCACCTTCACCCTATAGAGATATGTGTTTATATTTCTAAGATCAATAATACTACAAATCTAGAATCAGTTATCCAAAAATATGAACTAATGGTTCAAATTCACTCATGGATCTTACACTTCATTAATTTAGGGATTGTTTGGCATCCCCTATATTAGGATACTTTTTTTTTAATCCTTTTATCTTTTTAGATCATATCAGCTCTACTTTTTTACACATCTTTTTATAAAAAGTCAAAAAATACATCATCTCAAACAACCCCCTTAATATACACCACACATGCCCATTTTGGGTAAATTCTAGGACCCTAGCTTTTTCGTTTTAAATTGTCATTACCATGTCAATGTAGAATAAAATTATATATATGAGGCAAATAATGCCGATAGTCCCTATATTTTAATCCTTTTGTCATTTTAGTTCTTATAATTTTAATTGATTTAATTTTAACTATGAATTTAGAATTTTATATCAATTTGATCTAATTGATTAAATGATCAGTGTTTTTTGTCGGAAATTATGTATATAAGTGACATGTGTCATACTTTTATAAACCAAATTATAGATTTATTTAACTCACTGAGTTAATTTCAACCAATTCAGTGATTATTTCTCTTCAAAAACCCTAATCTGCATATCAATTGAGCTTAATTGACACAAAATCTAAAATTGGACTTATTTAAATTACTAAAACCACACAATAAATAAAACGCAGGATCTGTTGTAATTTGCCCATATATATGTGTGTATATATAGAATATTAAAAAAAAAATAGAAAGTGAAGAAGAAAGATGAAAAGGACTAAAGGTTCATTACTTGCCAGTGGTTAAGAAAGCCAAGCTCTTTTGCGCGGCTCAATTTCTTCTTCTTTTTTTTCATAATCATTGACCCTGACAACAAAAATATGATAGAAGATTACGATCTGCCACCAAAATGACAAGCTGGAATGAGAAAAATCAACCACTAATCAGCTCTTTAAATTGCCAATAACCAGAGACTCAAATTCATCATCACCAGACACTCCTCTTCTCCTACATCCATTTTCATCACCTGTTTCACTTCCTTCCAATGGCAAACCACCATAACAACACTTCCTTCTTTCTTGATAAGAAGGATTTTGTTCTCATCAAACCCTCAAAACCCACACCATCCCACATTCTTTCTCTCTCTGCTCTTGACAGCAATCCCAACCTTGACCTTCTCTGTCAAACCCTCTATGTCTACAACTCCAATGGCAAAGATCACAACGACCCGGCTTGTGTGATCAAAGAAGCCCTTTCTAGGGTTTTGGTTCACTACTATCCCTTAGCCGGGAAGCTCAAGAGGCACAATGATGGAATCTATCGAATTGACTGTAACGCCGATGGTGTGCCTTTTTTGGAGGCAGCTGCCACGTGTCCGCTTTCTTCCCTTCGTCATTTCAATGGGGTTGATGTTGAAACTACCTTACAGTTTGTTACTGACGTTCCAACCAAGCGCGATGGTTGTCACCACCCTCTGGTTCTACAAGTGACTAAGTTTTCTTGTGGGGGTTTCACGATTGGACTGGGCCTGTCGCACTCTGTCTGCGATGGGTTTGGTGCATCTCAGTTCTTCAGAGCCATGGCTGAGCTGGCTAGTGGAAAGACCGAGCCTTTGGTGAAACCAGTGTGGGAGAGGGAAAGACTTGCCGGAGTGCCTAGCAATGTTTTGGATCAAATTCAAAGCCTAGTTCCTGAACACAAGGCCTCATTAGCTACTTCACCGTATCTGCCAACGACAGATGTGGTTCATGAATGCTTCGACGTGAAAGCTGAGTGCATAACCAAACTCAAAATGGGTTTGATGAAGGAAAATGAAAGCATAACCAAACTCTTAATGGGTTTGATGAATGAAACTAATGAGAATGGAGTTTTAAATGAGAGTTTCACCACGACTGAAGCTCTCGCGGCCTATATTTGGAGATCCAGGTTTAGATCATTGAAACTAAACCCAGATGGGAACACCGTCTTAAGTTTGGCTGGAGGGATCAGACAACTTTTGAATCCACCATTGCCTTCTGGGTATTATGGCAATGCTTTTGTGCCTACGGATGTAGAATTGATCGGAAAGGATTTGAATGAAGGACCACTCTCCAAGGTCGTAAAACTAATCAAAAAGAGCAAGAAAATGGCTTCCAAGATCGAGTACATTAAGAATGCGATGAGTATCTTTGAAACAATTGTCAAGCAACAACATGTGAAAATGGAGAGCAATGGTGCAACCATGGTGTTGACAGACTGGAGGCAACTGAGCTTGTTGGGAGAAGTGGACTTTGGATGGAAGGCGTCGGTGAATTTGACACCGCTTCCATGGAAGATGTTTGGTTTTGTGGATTTATGCATTTTCATGCCTCCTTGCAGCTTGGATTCTTCCATGAAAGGTGGTGTTAGGGTTCGTATTTCTCTTCCTAGAGCTGCCATGGCCAAGTTCAAGGAAGAAATGAGTGCTCTTGAACATGGAGATTACAATGGCCTCATCTTCTGATTCACCTCTCTTCTTTTTTTGCCCCTCATTTTGATGTATTGTGTGATCTTTTTAAGTACCTTTTAGTCACCAAGGATCCTCTAGAGTATTTTTTTCTTAAAGTTTCCTAAAGTAGTGTATTGTGTGGTTGAGATTTAATGCTGAAAAATTGATGTGACTTGTCATTAAATCTCAACCACACAATGCACCACTCTAGGAAACTTTAAGAAAAAAAAACTCTAGAGGATCCTTGCTCCCTTTTAGTTCCTAGTTTACTTCGCTTAAACCAATCTCTTGTAATAAATCCAAAAAACTGAGTTCATTCCTTTAATTTTTTGGTTTGTATCCATGCTTTTAAGTATTAATTATAATAATAATGCTACGATAGTCACAATTTTTTTCTTATCCTTTATTTGTCCTTTCATGTGATATTTTTTTTTTTTTTATCGGCAAAGAAAAAAAAATGAAATATAATAATTAGATGAGATAATAAATAATAAATAAAATATATGTTAGATAATGTCTCAATGGGACCACATAATTAAATGTGGTGTTATCATTTATAAGAAACCTACAATTTAAGTGATTCAATTTAGTTAATAGGCTTAAGGGTATATGTGTTATGGACCTAATGTGTAGATACTAGTTGTATAATTTCTATTTCTATGAGGGGCAGAAATAGAAATTAAAACATATTGGTTAAAGTTGGTTTTCATTACCTTTCAGTTTTAAAACCAATAATGATTAATTTATTGGTTTTCATTACCTTTCAATTATGAAAACCAATTACAACCTTTAAAAGGTTATGGTCCCTATTCCTTCCCAAGTTGAAAGATAAGAACACTGTTTTGTTTTTCTAAATCCTCTCAAGGAGAAACATAAGGCACATAAGGGAAAGGATTAGAAGGCTCTAACAAAGTCAATATTAAAGTTTTATTGACAATCAGACGCTTTAACCGTTCATCAATGGATTCAGGTATGTCATTTTGTCTTGATTTCTTGATAATACACATGGTAAATGATCCAAAGTGTAAGGTTTATGTTCTGAAATTTATGTTGACAGTTATTAAGCACATGCAAGATAGACATCCAATATGACCAAAACAACTCTGGAAATGGCTTATGGGGGTCCTAAAACCCACTGAAAAATGCCTGAACCGAGCTCAAGAAGTGTGCAAATATAGGCCCCTTTGTAAGGCCAAAAAGGGCATCAAACAAGACAACAAGGAGAGGGGATGGCCCTCTCCTTCTTAGGACCTTAAACCACCATCCTCACCACTGAAATCCCTCAAGATTTCAGTGGTGAGGAGGCCCAAACAAGGTGGTCCCGGAGCTCACTAAAAATGCACAAAAATGAGGCCAAACAAGGCCTAAGAGGGGTCAAACAACCCCAAACACCAAAGTGGTCTTAAACAAACTTGAAAAGGAGCTAAAAACAAGACTTTTTTCAGTTATACACTAAGC